AATAAATAAATAAATAAATAAATAAATAAATAAATAAATAAATAAGTATCTATCATTTTATCCATTATATCATACTGGCTCTCATTCTGTTTACTTGTATTTATAAGATGACAATGGCAATACATTAAAACAGAAAAAAATAAAAATATTCTAATAAAATATAATTATATTTGACATCAAAGCATTAAAAACACAGTAAAACGAAAATAAAACAATAGTAAAAAAAAAAAAGGCGACAATTTGCACATTAAAAGCCTTTTGGAAAAGCTTCATTCTTAACATTCTCTGGAACACCATTAAGAAAGAAACAATCTGATTTCTGGGAGGAGGCAAATCTGTTGTGGTCAATGTCATAACAGAAAAATGCTTCTTGGTTTTGGCTAACATGGGGAACAAGTGATAGCTTTTCCCAGGAAAAGGATATTAAATGGGCTGATTTTATTTGGAAAAGGCGGTCCTATAAGTACCTAGGTGTCAAACCTTATAGGGCTTTACAAGTAAAAACCAGCACTTTGAAGTATAGTTGAAAGCTGTACTCCTGCAGCAAATGTAGGCATACAGGAACTGTGTTTTCCTTCCTTTTTCCTGGACATTTTTTTCTCTCTACATATATCATGTAGGTACTTTAGGCTACCTTGGGTTCTGGGAAAGTAGCCCCCAAAATCTTTCCAATACGATATAAAAATAAATACTAAAAGACACGGCCATAGCAGATTTGAATGACTTTTTGTAAGATACTGATTTTATGTTTTATTTCACTGCTTAGATTATAAATATAGAAATAAAACTCACCACAACCTGCAGCATTTGATCATTTTGACTTGCAGGACTTTCAGTTAGCATCTGTGACAGAGTCTGCATCAGTGTCTTCCCAAGCAGAACCACAGAACCAAACATAGCTGCTATTCCAAAAACCATCCCTATGTTAAACCTGAAGCAAACATGTAAATATTGTTATAAGTTAACATCATCTCTAACTTGGCAAGCACATATGGCAAATTCACCATCTATGAAGATAACTACTTAATGGCTCCAAGTTCCCTACACCAGAAACATGCATTCATTATACAAAAAAAAGCTATTCAAGACTAAAACAAAAGGGCATTCTATTTAGCTGTACAATACCATGTAAGCAATCAGTTTCAGAAGAGTAGCCACTCTGATTGGCAGGATATAAAAGAATTTCCAGTAATTCTCTCATATACGCCTGAATGGTATTTCTGAAACAATACCAGAGATAAAGAAATCTGGGCTTCCATCTTCCCCAGTTGTAGAATAGGCGGTTGAAAAAAGCCGTCTGCCATCGCATATGGAATGGAGAGACTGTCAGTCCATAGGATACAAGCCATTCCTCGTAAGACTCTTTCAGAGAAGAAGATGACTGTAAGAGAAATATAACCAAAAAGGAACTCAAGAAGTCTGCATATTAGAAGTATAATTGTGCAAACATCTCATGTTTTCTTTTATTTCTGGAAAATGGGTTCCTAACTAATGGGGGCTAGCAAGGCAACTTCTGGTACATTGAGAACATGCTGAAGGACATTCTGACAAAATGGCTATTAAGAGCAAATTGTTCATGCACAAAATGGCTGCCTTATCTATATTCAAAACACTGATATACCAGAGTATGATCTGCCTCTTTCTCTTGTTCCTCTGCCCCTGCTTATGTTTATCCTGTTCCTGAGAGGTAGGCACTCATCTCAACTAAGCACTGAGCCAAGCCACCCATCATTTTTATTTCCTTAAAAAATGTATGGGTCCATATGGAGTCCACAGACATTCTAGGAAATGGAGATGATGCTGAAAGCTAGTATTTGGTTTGCAATATGCCAGCTTTCCAATCGTGTTTACATGTAAAATGCCAGGAGGGGCAAGAGCTTGCCAAGCATCAACAGAATGTCTGTGAGCATCCTGGTAATCACGATTCCACTCTGGACAGCCAGACTCTGGATCGACTATGTCTTGTTCTTGTTCAACCTCTGCTGTATTTTTACTATTTTCAGCTGTTCTTTGGATTAGATGTAAATCATCAGCAGGGCATTGTTTATCAACATTTTTTTTCTGGAATACACATCAAACAGCTGGAAAAGACTTGCTATTTTGGAAAAATTTGCAGTAGCTGATTCCTGTAATAGCAACGAAAGGGAAAACAATGAACCAATGTGTTTACTGAGATGAATGAGTATCTGAAGTGAAACTGCACATGCTTAACTTCATTTTAAAACAAAATCAAAGAGAAGGCAAAAAGAACCAGACAACAGAATTTGGGATTTGCAAGGCTTGGGGGACGTCACTGTTACTGCAATGTATGCTCCTCCAAACTGAAAACATGTGCCTAATTCCCTCTGAACATCAATCTGTGGATGGTTCAAAATCTTAATAGCCCCGTACATAAAAATGAAGGCTTCTCAATTCAGTACAATCTGATTCCTTTAAGAAGGCCATAGAGATACAGTATTTGAAAACAATCAGGAAATTGACTTCTTTCTGACATGACCGATAAGCCTTCCAAGGACTGGAATCCTCCCCTTCCAAGGACTGTTCGCAGTGCACGATCCTGCACTGGAAAGGAAGCCGACAGGCTACAGTTCGGACTACCAGACTTAAGAGGCCGCAAAAATCCGGGCGACCACTAGATCCCAGCAGAGAGCCAGAGGGCGCTCTTAGTTCTTGGCTGCCTTCTCCCAGCCTAACGTCATATTACGCATTAAAAAAAAACCTCTAGGGCTACGTATGTTAACGATGCACGAAAGAGGCTTCCGCACCCAGAAGGCGGCGTGCAGAAAAGCAGCCCTGTACGGCATTTCTCCTTTTTCCATTGGGCGGCTGAGGCAGGTTACCAGCCTTATTTCTGGCTCGCTCCCGCGCCTTAAAAGCACGTAGGACAGACAAGTGGCCAACATGGGCACCTATCGGGTTTCTGTCCTACTCTGCAACTCTTAAAATATGGAGTAAAAACTTGGGAGGCTGGAGGGGCGGAGCGTCAGCAACTGTTGGGAAAATGAACCGAGTCATTCCGTCTTGAAAATAGCGAGCAGGTCCTGCGTTACGCGCCCCCTGCAGACGAGGCACGTAAGCAGAGCCCGAGCGAGCATTTGGCAAAGCCGCGGGGGGGAAGCACGTGGCCGCTGCTCCTCTGCAGGCTTAAGCGAGGCGTCGCCCGCAGAGAATGATTTCCATTCAAGGGCCTAAGAAGGGAAAAGGCTCCCGTCTTACCTTCAGTACCGTGTCGGCTATGTATACGGCGCACCAGCCCCCCAGCACGCAGACCACCATGGGCATGGGAATCATGGCGGCGGCGGCAAAGCGAAACAAAAGCGGCCGCAGAGCCCAAGCCGGAGATTTACAGTTTACAGTCCGGAACAAAATGTCCCTCGGAACTAGGGCGAGCCAACCGCATCTGCTGAGAAGGAGACTTCCGGAAAGAGCACCGGGAGAAACTTAGCGTGCTGAGCGTTTTGGTTCTTGGCATTGACTTCAGGTTCCGTTTTGCCGTTGACAGACTGCTTCCTCTAAACGGAGACACTGGCGAATTAACATATTGCGTGAAGAATAACGGAAGTCTTTATTGTTTACATTTTGTTCAAGTAGCAGTTGTCTGTTTAAAAAGTCTGAAAACATCTCTTTTCCACCTACTCACGCGCCTGGGTTTTCATTGTTCCCGAGAGTGCTTTTTAATTCTCCCTACCGTTTCAATAAGCGGGGAATGGCAGGGTTGGGAACAAAAAGCTTACCTGCTTAATTTCTATCTAGGCATTTAATGGCATAGAAGTGTAGCGGCGGGGGGGGGGGGGGGGCGGGGGCACGGGGGGAGGGGACCGGCCCCCCCCCCCACGCGGGCCCGAAAACGTACAGATAGGTTCCAGGCTGTGTTAGTTTGCTGTATCACAAGCAAAGATCCTCGTGGCACGATGAAAGCAAATTTATTAGAGCGTAAGAGTTCCAGCGGAAACCCGAAATCCCCAACAGAGTGTGCGCGTGTGTTGAAACAGTAGGAACGCCGGTTTTTCAAAGTTC